TGTGACATGTGGAATCAAGCGAGTCTTCACAGCTGGCATGAAAAGACACGGCTGGCAGGTGTATGGGTATGTGAACAAAATTGTGGCCTAAACTCTCAGAGGTTTCTAATCTTATGGTGGGCCACTGAGTGGTAAGCCCATGTTGGTAGGGAGCCAATTGTTGATATCCTATTGTAGGTTGCCTAAGGCAGCTGGAATCTCTAGGAAAAAACAATGGGGAGCAACAATCGATATTTGGTTGTGGTGGTTGTGATAAATGGGCAGGTTATGTATCTGATAATAGAAAAAACGCATTGGTTCAAACTCGTGTATTCAAAAATTCTTTATTTTGGAGTTTTCTTTGTTCGCGGATGGGCAGGTTGGATCTGTGGCATCCCCCACATGCACAAAGTTATTTTTCACCCATAATCTATGTATGCATATTAAGGTCTGGTCTTAGTGGATGATTGAGAGATTCAGGGAAAGCCCGCAGTGGCAATCATAGCCATTGGTGATGGTGTTAGGGATAGCCGGTGAGAGGCACCGGGAGGCAGTTCAGCATTACTGCCGGGTTGGAGGCGATGACTCCTGAGTCAGGTGTCAGAGAGGCAAACTGGTTCACACTCTACCAATCTAGTAACATTGCAGAATTCAGGATTAGGTTTACTAGATAACCTGATTCTTCTACTTAGCTCAGCTACGGATAAAAATGCGTCGATTTTGGTGTTGTGGTAGAGGAAGACGCAGGGTGGAAAAGATGCCATATCTGGCAAGACTCCGAGCTGAAGCATCTTATAGTCTCTAGAATGCAACTTTACAATGCGCCTTTTGAGGTGGGACCAGCCCTTGCCAAGAGTGGTGAGGACCTGGGGTTGCAGTATGAGAGGATAGAGACTGGTCTAGTTTTATTGCTGTGGGCCACCCCAGTCATAATAAAATTGGATTCAGAGGACCACTGTTCTGAGGGGTTTAGCAGTGGTGATAAGCATGGGTATACCAGGGTTGTGAGTTCATGGAGCAGTAGGTCTTGCACATGATCAGCTGCGACTGTCCATAAACATGACCTATCTAATTGGAGAATCTGGTGGTCTGTGATCGATTACTACCAGAATAGCTCCCAATGCTATATGTATAGAAGCACTAGTGATATATTATCTGACCTTTATTTCTATAAAACTGCATGGTGGTATTTGATGATGGGAGCAGTTGTTCTGGAGGTTGGGATGCGACATAGTCTCAGATCATCTATAGAGGTCTACTATCGATAGCATATTATTCCATCTCTTCAATACATGTTGGCATCATACCCCAAGTGCAACTGGGGACAAAAGACATTTGAATATGGTTTTTACAACTGTGAGACCATGAGTACTTGGCATGGCAGTGAGCAGAGTGGCACGGTATATGTGTTGCCTTGTCATATATCGCCCAGGATGTCGATGTGCCCCGGGGGGGGTAGCCATAGTGAGGGGACCAGCGGACAGATGGTTAGTGAACTTCATGTCTTAGATTGCCTTTTCTTAGGCACAAACATGGAGGTCATATAATGATGGATCTGGTGGGGATCTTTGCTATGATGTTTGTGGGCTAATAACTGGTCAGATGCATGAGCGAGTGGATAGAGGTCGGTGTATGTTCTTGAGCGGCTATGATTATGGATAGTAACTATGTACTTTGGAGGCGTTCCCCCCGGTTGGTATAAAAATAGGGGTAGCCTGACCAGTGGATGTCCCTCCTGGCCATTATAATAGGAGGATGCTGAAAGTCGCCACGAGCGCCCTCCCGGCATTATAATAGGAGGCGCCGTATGCATCTGAGAGCTGACCTCCAGGCTTAAAATAGGGGGTGATCGAAATCGTCTGTGGTGCATCAGTAGTGCAGAAGGCAGTCTGTTGGGCTTAGGAATAGTGATCTATATTAAATCCAGTTGTTTCTCAATGACTTGGTACATGGGTAGTCGCATGGGGGAGAAACTTGGATGACATATGATCAGTTTTACCTTGATAACGGTCGAAGAAGTGGTAACTTTTTCTGTATCGAAATTGAGGAAGTCTTGATGATGGTCGGAGAAAAAAAATACTTCCTCCATCCAGAAATAAATAAAACAATTTGTTTAAGAGGTCATATTTATATCACAAACTTGTTGGTTTTCCTTCAAAATTGGACCAATGTACTACCTACACATTTTCTATATGCTGCCAAATTTTTTGTGGACAATGGATAAGTACAAGCTACGTGGCAGTACTTTGAACCCTTGTGATTCAGGTCAAAAAGTCCAGGTTTCTCAAGGTCTGGCCGAACAGCCCACAAAACAGGTCCTTGACCAAGTCGCCTTGCGACTGATGGTGGGCATCCCAGAGTGGATGTTTGTTGCTGCCATCTTGGTGGCAGGTCGACACCGTTCCTACCAGAGGGGGAAGATCGCAAACCCGGGTTCTGTACCATTTTATCCTAAGGATCAATGATCAAGGCTTGATCGCCACCGTGGTTTTGATGGCCTTATCAGGGCAGCAACTCCGGATCGGAGACCCAGAAATCTGCAAATCTCGCAATCCCGGCATTTGCAAAAAGGGTCCCCACCATGGGCAAGGACGCCGTGGGTGCTAAGACCACCATGGAAGGTTTTGGGAGAATGCGATCGTGCCCTCGCTGCGTGGCAGCCAAAAGTTCGTTGAAATTGGTTATGGTGGGCACGTGCCGCGAGAAACACTTTGTGCGCCATTCACGCTGCTTTCAAAGATGCTGTTGCAATTGAGCTTCGCCCGTGCCATTGCAAAATGCAAGAACACCATTATAGCGACACGTGGGGTCTCTAGTAGAGCATCCAAACCCTCCATTGTCGTGTTTGGTAGGGTTGAAGCCTGTTTGGAAAGAGGGTTTGCTTGCATCAGGAAGGCACTTAATCAGAGATCCATCTGGTAGCAAGAAAAAAAATGTGTGATTAACTGATTGGCAGTTACCAAGTGAAACGGCTTTTTCACCGCTATATATTAAATTCATTGGGTGTAGATTGCCGGCAGCTCCAAGTTGATCAGTAGATTATAGAGTGGGGATCAGTGGATTTTGGCAAGGAAATAGAGGAACCTATGGATAAGGAGCCAATTATATACAAAGTCATTGCAACGGTACTAAGATATCTCCGTGACAGGGAAAACAAGGATGAGAATCTCTAATATAATAATGAAAGGTACTTCATCCTGGATGTTTAAGGGAGTGTGTTATCCACACCATACATGAAAAAATGGGAGTACGGTCTAAAACAAAATGTATTGACTTTATAGTTGATGCATTAACTGGGCAGCCAAAAGAGCACTTCGGTTTTTGAGGGCAAAAACTACCCCGAGGGGGGAGTATTGTTGTAGAAACACTTGGGGTAGGCGCAATGGACCAATTCTTTCTCTCATTATCTTTAGATAATGGTGTACAACTCCATATTTATGGTATAATGGTTTATTTTACAAGCTCGGACCGCCGCACGCGCTGCGCACGCGGTGTTCTCTGATTAACCCGGCAGACGATGGCGTTGCACGGCCGGGCCCATAGGCAACGCACATGTATTGTGTGCCTATGCCAAAATAAAATAGTGATTGAAGCCTTGCTCCTGCCCTCGTAACTCCACGCTCCGCATGGAGCATAGTCAGCTCATTATCACTTCGTGCCCATGCACTCACATGATGTACGGCAGGCAAGTGCAGCACTGTCTGGAGGAGCCAGGGAGCGTGGCCGGAGGTAGCATGCCAGGCCGGCAAGCAGACGTGCACTCGGGCTTGCGCATGCGGCATAGAGGTGGCCATTCAAGGGTGCCATCCGGTCCGTTAAATCCGGTTCGTTAATTTTTATCAGCTGTCCGTTAAATTTCGTTAAAGAAAAAGGGAGAAAATTTCAGAAAAAACGAAAAAAATCCAAAAAAAACGAAAAAACACCCAAAAAATCACAACAACTGCGGCTAGTTGAAAATCTAGTATGCATAGGTTGAAATAAAATACAAACATACTCTCTAATAGCGAATTCCATAAACTATAAGTATGATTAAAACCCAAAAATCCCCAAAAAATCCAAAAATCCGCTAATTTTTGGTTAATTTTTGTCTTTTTTCGTTATTTTCCGTTAATTAACGGAAAATTAACGGAAATTAACCTTTGTCCGCTATTAACGGATCCGGGTGGCCACCTCTAATGCGGCATAAGCTGGTAGTGAGAGTGGCCTCGGGGTGCGCGAGCGTGGTGCCTCCTAGGCGCCCGCTCCCGCCCCTTACACCTGCCTAGATTGGCAGTGGGCGCCAGCGGAAGCGACCAACCGGGAGGCGCCAATGCGCCTGGCGCACATTGGCTCCGCGGGTGGCGTGGCTGGGAGCCAAAGGGGTGATTGAAGGAAAGTCTGGTCTTTTGTCACCATTGATATAATCCATTTCTCTTTGACTGGGTCTGCCGGCTTTTGAAGAGAAACGCAGCACAGGAGTAGAAAGAAGAGCATGAACCGCAGAGTTCTCATCCTTGTTTCCCTCTTAGAATTGTGGTACAAGTGTTGTCGGGTTTAGCTCCGAAACCATGTGCGCTTGTGAAGACCAGTGAGAGAAAGAGATATTACAGATAGTGTCAGTTTCCTTTTATCCTTCGATGTATAATGAATGTAATGTCCAGGTAATGAATGTAATGTTCGTTTGTAAGCCCACAGCACGCAAACACCAATGACACAATTTGCTGCCATCGTTCTTGCGTCATTCCGATTGGGGTACTGTAGTACCTCTGTATTTCGGTGCTTGCAACGAATACGTATCGTGTTGTGCGCAACACGCTGCAACCGCCTTGCGGCATCCACTTTGCTATCAGGGCTCCTGCGGCCGTTGCCAGTGTGCGAGGCCTTGCGCCGCGGACACTGGGACATACTGGTGGATGGCAAACGATCACTTGGGACCGCCGTGACCGACTTGCCAGGGCTGTGACTGGGCTCTGACACTGAACTTCGGAAAGACCCGGCTTCACGCAAACCTCGTGGAACCCCAGCGCACCTGAAGCCGCGGAATGTGGCAACAACGGTGCACCCGCTCCGCCTTTGGAACCGTCCTTTCGTCGGTGCTGTTCCTTCTTGCTCTCTTTTGCTACGTCGAAGGGGAGCAAATCGTTATCAAGGTGCTGCCCCATTGTGCAGTCAAGTCGTGCGAATTCACGACGGAAAAATTGTCAGGCAAGAGGGCGTAACAAATGCTGTGACTGCGTGCGAAGGGCGGCACTGTCACCAACGCGGACGGACAACTCGTAGCAGATGTCCTAATTGAGAATGGCAAAATCGCCAAGGTTCAGAAAGACTTGAAGGTGGGAGAGGAAGAATGCAATACGAACTACTACTAACTGCGACAAATTGTAAATTGTCAGTGGAATAGTATGCATTGATATCGAAGCAGATAGCCACAGTGTCTATGCTGCGATTCCGTTCCCCTTGCTTTCACATTCCCACAGGAAAGCTGAACTGCAACCCACCAAAATGTGGAATTGATGGTGTGGTCAAGAAGGTAGTTCATCCTTTGTGACTTTTAGTCCTGGCTGCTACGCAGGTGCCCCCCGGTGCTCGACTCCTGGATGCCTCTGGCCAATACGTCATGCCTGGGGGTATTGATCCCCACACGCACCTTGAGATGCCATTCATGGGGCAGGTCGCCTGTGATGATTTCTTCAGGTGGGGGTTGGCAGGATTTTGTATTCCCAAGGCACTATTCCTGGGAAACTGCAGCTGGCGCTTCGGCGGGTTCTCCATCTTGTGCAATTCAAAGTTTGCAAATGCCACCTTGCTGGCAGCGTTTGTTGATCTGTGCACCATTGTTTGCTTGGATAGTGGTCAGGCAGCTGCGCTGGCTGGTGGGACAACCATGCACATTGATTTTGCCTTGCCTACAAAAGGGGATCTGATGCAAGGTTTCCATGACTATCAGGTAATGTATCAACTGTTATGTACATATGTACATAATGTGTAATGTGTCAAAGGCCAAACATGCATGCATACTATGTATTGTGTCAAATGCCACTCCCACACACCTCCTGATGGGAAGGGCCAGACGCACCAATAGATTTTGTTGCATGAAATCAACTAAATTGTATGCTGTTGTGAGCAGAAGAAGGCTGCAAAGGCCTGTATGGACTATGGCTTCCACATGGCAGTCACCTCTTGGTCAGCAAAGGTGGCTGCTGACATGGCTACTTTGGTGAAGAAAGGAATCAACTCCTTCAAGTTCTTTTTGGCATACAAGGTGACTGAGCTGTGGGCAGCTGCTGCAAATGTATTTTGCTTCATAGCTCTAGCTTTCTGAGGGTAGAAACACCTTCAATGTCCAAGACTCAGATCCCGGTACACAAGCAAGAGTTGTTCCTGTTCCAATGTTTCTCTTGCCAATTCGGCTTTGTGCTGTGCAGTGGCATTTGTCTGGGGATGCTGTAGCCTGCCATTGCAGTCTGTTTGCTCATCAGGTGCACGGTTCTGGGACATGTGAGCAGGTCACTGGCCCATTTGTTACTGGTTCATTCTGGTGTATGGTATGCAAGCTGGCAGCCTACTTGCAGGGCATGCCTTTGTATCAGATCTGCCACGACTGTTTCTTTGCTCAAACATTGTTGAATTAAGAAATGCTTACACTGCACTGTGTATGGTATTGTGTGGTGTGCATGTTTAACAAACCACCACCTTCTTTCAGCATTGGGCCTTGAATTGCACTGTCCTGCCTCTGGTGAGTGTGGAATCATTCCAGCAGCACTTTGCTGGTTGTGGCATTCCAGGGCATCTTTGTGTGTTTCTCTCAAGCGATTTGGTGCATGTACGTAGGGTGCCCTCATGGTTACAGATGAAGAGTTCCTGCAGGGACTTCAGAAATGCAGGGAGATTGGAGCAATTGCACAGGTGACTGTGGTTTTGACACAGCAGGGTTGAGCAGACAGTGTTGCTGCTGTGCTTTCCGTGCCGGAACACTCATCCATAGCTCAAGTGCACAGTGTTTGGCTCAAATAGGGTATCCAAGTGCCACCTATCCAGTCTGGTATGTACTTGCTGTAGGTGCACGCAGAGAATGGTGAGGCTGTTGCAGTGGGACAGAAGCGCATCTTTGAGGCTGGTATCACTGGACCTGAGGGACACGCTTTGTCGCGGCCTTCATTCCTTGAAGGGGAGGCAACATCAAGAGCAGTCCGCCTGGCTCGTTTTGTAAACACACCTCTCTATGTCGTGCACACCATGAGCATTGATGCTGTGGAAGAGGTATGCTGATGTCTGTTAGTTTGTTAGTTTGTTAGTTTGTCAGTTTGTTAGTTTGTTAGTTTGTTAGTTTGTTAGTTTGTTAGTTTGTTAGTTTGTTAGTTTGTTAGTTTGTTAGTTTGCTAGTTTGCTAGTTTGCTAGTTTAGTTTGCTAGTTTGCTAGTTTGCTAGTTTGCTAGTTTAGTTTGCTAGTTTGCTAGTTTGCTAGTTTGCTAGTTTGCTAGTTTGCTAGTTTGCTAGTTTGCTAGTTTGCTAGTTTGCTAGTTTGCTAGTTTGTTAGTTTGTTAGTTTGTTAGTTTGTTAGTTTGTTAGTTAGTTTGTTTGTCTGTTTGTTTCTTAGTTTGGCTTTTTTTGTTTTGTTTGTTTTTTTTGTCTGTTGTTGTTGTTATTGTCTGATGCTGATGTTTGTTTTGATGTTTGTCTGATATTTTTGGGGGGATGTCTGTTGTCTTGTTTGTTTGTTTTTTTGTCCATTGTTTGTAGTTTTTGGAGCAATAGGTTTTGTTTGTTTGTTTGTTTGTTTGTTTGTTTGTTTGTTTGTTTGTTTGTTTGTTTGTTTGTTTGTTTGTTTGTTTGTTTGTTTGTTTGTTTGTTTGTTTGTTTGTTTGTTTGTTTGTTTGTTTGTTTGTTTCGTCCTTACATGGATGCATCGACATGACGTCACGGCATCGATCAATGTAGCGTACCATCCAGTGTATGAAGGGCACGTCCGGGCCCAATTCTAGAGCCGAAAACTGTTTGTTTGTTTGTTTGTTCCTTACATGGATGCATCGACATGACGTCACGGCATCGATCAATGCAGCGTACCATCCAGTGTATGACGGGCATGTCCAGGCCCACTCATATTGCAAAACACGCCTCTAATGGCGGTCGCAGCTGACTTCGATTCCCAAAGCTCCCCCACACAGAACAAAAGAAAATTATCTGCATGCCAAGGGAAAGAAGGGCACCCTATTCGCTGAGGGGCTCGCTGGCCTCGATGAAGCGAATTCTATCACCCACTGCTCGTAGAAAAGCTCCAAGTCTCACGCAGTGATTCCAAACCATATCGTGCAAATTTTCCGTATCAATACCTTCTGAGTTCAGCCATTGCAAGCGCGAATCCTCCCCTCAATCGCATTGTTTGTTTCTTCCTTACATGGATGCATCGACTTGACGTCACGGCATCGATCAGTGTAGCATACCATCCAGTGCATGAAGGGCACGTCCAAGCCCACTCATATTGCAAAACACGCCTCTAATGGCGGTCGCAGCTGACTTCGATTCCCAAAGCTCCCCCACACAAAACAAAGAGAATTATCTGCATGCCAAGGAAAAGAAGGGCACGCTATACGCTGAGGGGCTCGCTGGCCTCGATGAAGCGAATTCTATCACCCACCGCTCGTAGAAAAGCTCCAAGTCTCGCGCAGTGATTCCAAACCAAATCGTGCAAATTTTGCATATCAATACCTTCTGAGTTCAGCCATTGCAAGCGCAAATCCTCCACTTGATCGCATTCACAAAGAAAATGTGTGCAATTATAGACTTGCCCACACAATACGCATTCCACCATCTCATCATCATCTTGCGGAATTCTGAAGTTGCCAAAGTGGCAGTGCCCAGTCATGAAACGGCCCACCCAAACCATATCTGATCGATGACAAAGGCAGCATCTTCAGGACTCCATGACTGTCCCGTGTCCGGAAGGAGTGCGTGCAACGAACATCCAGTGTCGGCGGCATGCCATCGTCGTTTCCACTCGTCGATCAGAGCTTCATCGATGAGACGCATGACTTGACGCTACTGTGCCTTTGTGATGTCCACCGAGCATAGGTTTTGTCGGGTGTCTGTTTTGCATACATACTTGCCCTGTCTGCACTTTTTCAACCCAATACATGCACTGTTCAGTTGGCCATGGTATCACAGTGTACCTTTGGGATATTTTTGTCAGGCCAACTGAATTTTGCACCATCGCAATGCTGACTTTATTGTTGTAGATAGATTCTTTGGGGAATGTGAATTTGTAAGCAAATAGAAAGTTGTAGCAGCCAAGCATGGTTCTTGTGCAAAAAGTAAGCCAAGCTATGTCTGACAGTGACCAGTGAGCACAAAATGTGTTAAAGGTGGCACGTGCTAGAGCAAGAGGTCAGAGAGTCATCGGAGAGCCAGTTGCATCTGCCCTCAGCCTGAATGAGACAGCAATGTGGAATCCCGATTTCAAGATAGCTGCAGCTGCTGTTATGAGTCCCCCTATCAGGGCTGCTTCCCATCGCGTGAAAATCAAGGAAGCTCTGGCAGGAGGGCTACTTCAGCTGGTTGCAACAGACCATGCCGTCTTTAACTCGACACAGAAGGCAGTTGGGAAGGGCGACTTTAGGGTGATTCCTAATGGTGTCAATGGAATTGAGGAACGGCTTCATGTGGTGTGGGAGGAAATGGTGAACTCAGGTAAACCACTGGTGGGATTGATGGTGTGAAAAGTGGGTGCTAGAGGGAAGTTGGCTGTATGCAGAGGGACGATGTATGCATGTAGATGGTCAACATTGCAGTGGTGGTTTGTGTATGTATACATGCAAATGGAGACACTGATGTTGCTTGGCAGTGATCAATAGAGGGTTGCATCTGCAGTTCAGTTTTCTGTTCTTCGTAGTTTTGGAGATGTGCAGATGATGTTTGTGTTGCTCCCACCCACAGGTTTGATCACTCCGTCCGACTTTGTTCGTATCACAAGCACTGCTGCTGCTCAGATCTTCAACTTGTACCCGCGCAAGGGCGTCATTGCTCCTGGTTCAGATGCGGACGTCATTCTGCTGGATCCAAAAGTCGAGCACCACATAAGCGCAGCCACACACCATTCAAGGATCGATACCAATGTCTACGAAGGCAAGAGAATCATGGGAAAGGTGGGGTGGTCACATATCATCTTGCTTGCACCAATGCTTCTGCAATTGCAGTTTCTTACCTTGCTCTAACACTTCTTTCTGAATGTGATATTATCAATACTACTCATGCTATGGATGTGGTTATTCTATGTTGTCCGTATGACAATATTTATTGTTGGCACATACCCTTGTATCTTTGAGCAACAGTAGTTGCCTGCAAGTCATCATCAAGACTGCTCTTGCTGAGGTGCGACCCTGTCCTGGAACTGCTGCTGGAATGACCTGTCCACGTTGAAGCTCTGTGTCAGTGCATACCTCATTGTTTTCGTGTGGCATTTTCGTCAGGTGGTCGTCACAATAAGCCGTGGCCGCATTGTGTGGGAGAATGGCAACCTCAATGTGACCCCTGGCACTGGTAGATTTGTGGAGATGCTGCCCATGGGTCCCTTGTTTGAGGGGCTGGATATTCTAGACCAGGAGGCTATGCACCCCCTTGGCACAACCCCTGTGCACCACACACATGCCAAAGATGAACTCTAGAGGGAGAGCATGGGTTGTGCTTTACATTTTTGCTATTGCTGCCACAATCCCTAGATGTGTTACATGCGTGGGGTCCTCAGGTCTCAGGTTTAGACCCTTCGCAGTGCTGCATAATGCCCTTAGGCATGTCCATCTGTATGTGGCACAATACCTTCCCAGCGGTGAACTGTACTGTATGATTGTATATGCAATATATGTAATGCAAAAATCTAGTGGATTCAAGTCTCATCAAACTGTGCACCTACCGGAGGACTTTTTGCTCTTGTAGTTTCTGCTGTTTGAGGCCCTTCCGCTCCTTTCACATGATTGGCTGCCACCATTTGTGCCGCTGCTATACAGCACCAGTGATTGGAGTGTCACACACTGATGCAAGGACTGGTGGTGCCATTGCACGTTGCTGGATTTGCAGTTGGCATTGCGTTATGTGCTCCGCAGCTGACTGCCAGCGCTGTCCTACCATGGACTGTGATTCTTGCATCTGCCCGTAGGCTGCTGTCCCCTGGATTACAGTTGCTGATTGGAGGTACAGTCATACCTACGTACGACTTCCAGCACGCTATCCCCGCCCTCCTCAGTGGTTCGCAATGTGCACAATTTGCTTTCCTTACGAGACACCTCTAAGTGACTTTCGCCTCTCCAGAATGTTGTTTTGCTGCTTCTCTTGGTGTTGGGGCCGAATTATTATCTCCCAAGAATATTGTCAAGTCAGCAGTATGATGGGTCGCACAAGTTGTCATTTCTCGCTCCCTGCTGGGCTGAGGCTATGGGGCTCTTAAGCCAGCGACCAAATGGGAGCATGCATTGAAATCCCCACGTGATGCCTGCAGTACCGCCAACAATTGAATCGTATTGCGGCGCAACAGACATCTGATCCTACCAGGATACTCATGCCATCAGTCTTCATTCTATGTGGTCTTCATCCGCATCTTCGTCAAAGATCATCGCTAGGGACCCGTCTAACATTGTGCCAAATCATATTCAGAGGCTGATGCCCAACCCATCCAATCAATCATTTGAACTCGGCTATCACTACAGCAATAGGCAGTTCCACAGCTGAATTCCACAATTGCCCATCATTGCTCACTAGCCAAGCTGACGCGCCAAAAGCGGCATCTTGAAATTCCTGGCGACAACCCAATGGATTCCGATCTTCGTCCGCTTCTCTTTTTCCGCCCTGGACTTTTAATGAAGTCTCCACTGCACACTCATTCAAATGTCCCAACCGCTCAACTTTTAAACCGTATCGTGCTGTTGATTCGACTTCACTGTCTGTGTTGACTTGATCCCTGGAAGCGGACAGGCTATTCCACCATGTTTTGGTACAGGTACTTTTCTTGGGAATGACAAATTACCTTCAGATGTTTTCCTGCGTACCCACACCCTCTTTTTCTTAACGAATGAGGAGCTCAAAGAGAATTTGCTGGTGCTGCCTGGAATTTGGACATCCGCTTGGAATAGTGGTCCAGCACGCCCTCAGCTTTATGCATCCATCATGCTGATTCTTGTTCGCAAAAGACGTTCGTGTGCATCCTTCTCCGAAGGCTGGCGTGTAACATTTGTTGATTGAACGCACCAGCGCCTGTGCCATTAGGCATTCGAAATCATGTCTCCAGAGCATCAAAGAAACCTCGCTGTTTGCATATTGCAATCCGGGCTGGGCGTGCAACGGTGGTCCTGAACCGCGGAGACAGCAGGCCATGTAGGACCGGCGAACTCGTGGTTCTGTTTGAGAGACGACAAGCACGAGCAGTTCAACGATGGCGCGTATCTCCAGGCCATTGGAATCCGTGCCTGGAGGAGGGAAGAACATGAAATATGTTCGGGGTACAGAGTTGCAACGACCAGATTTAAGTACCAAAAGCATCAGGGGGTGTCGACAGCCCCCATGCGGTCGGCCCAGCGGAAGACGGGGCCTTTGCGCCATGCACCCTCCCGCCCTTCCTCATCTTGCAGCTGGTGGCTTGTCTGCAGCTTCGAAAGCTGCACCGCCTGTTGTTGTCGCTCGATGGAATGCTTTGGGTCAGTCGATGTCGCCTTTCTGCATTCACAAGCGAAGTTGGCAAGCGTGCGGGAAGCCCAGCTCTTCCCAAGTAACCTTGAAAACTGGCTTTGTGCGATTGCCAGCTTACTGCCAGTTTGATCCCTTTATTCTGGTATTTTCAAATCAAGCGTGTCTCCAATTGTGGGTTTATTCCACGAAAAGAAGTTGTAACGTTGCTGTCGGCGCTGGAATCGCAGCTGTGTCCTCGCCCAAGATTCAAAACTTCAGGAGCTATATTCAGTACAACAAGTAAATGAAGATCTTTCAGTTGATTTCGATTATGAAGTTCTTTGTCCCGTCAAGCGTAATTAAATAACGCTCTTCAAAATACAGAGCTCTGTGTGAATGCAGCGCCTTAGCTGGACATCGCAAATGTCTCATATCTGCAGATGCGGATAACTCTTTACACTAGATCACCCACAGTGCTGGCATATGTCGTGTCGGCACTGCCTGGAACCGCCGTTCCGTGGATGCCGTGCTGCATTCAGCTTTGCCGAACGCTTCCGCGATTGCCAATTAGTTACAATCACCTTTCCGTTGTTTTCCAGATTGCACGGAGGTGTATCTCGCCGGCTCCGGTTTTGAAAGATTGGCTGGGTTTGAAGATCTGGTCAATCTTGAATGCCTCTGGATTGACGGCAACAGCCTAACCGTTATTGAAAATTTAGACTCTAACTTCAGAGTCAAGACTCTCTATGCTCAGGTGGGTGTACTGTGCCATTCAAGGTGGTGTCAAAACCATGAGTTTGATACTGTGTACTGCAACCTGGCAACGTGCCGTACAACGCTCCTGTCTGCAATCGCCATGTACGGGTGACAGCAACTTGTTTAGCGTTGATGCCAAAGCATAATCTGCATTTTCAAGTGAAAATATGATTTCACTTGAATACTTTCGAAGCATCTATATACTCAGTGTGCACTTATAAAGACTTACGGACCCACGGCAGTCACAAGCACTGCCGCTAGCCGTCCATTTTTCAAATACGGTCAATACTCACACAACGAAATCCCTGCTATTTTCGTGCCATGGCCACGTATAAGTGCCAAACTGGAATGCAGATCTATGCAGTGTCTGTTCAAATCGGATTCGTTTTGCAAGGCCCGGTGGAATGATCGCTGTTGTATCTGCGGGGCTCGCTTTGCTCTTCATTTCCCATTGGATGTCTCAATCGCCAACAGGTTTTGTTTTACGTGAAACCCATGAACACAACACCCGTGAAATGTTCTACCGCATGGCTTCACGATGAAATTAAATTTCCCAATAAATGCATATATACTAGCATTTATATACTAGCATTATACTAGCATTTTTAGGAAAGAACATCGCTGTCCACCCTCATGTCATTACAATTATGCAATTGTACAAAGAGTGGCAATGGGAATTTCTTAATGCAAATAGCAGTTTAGTTATGCTTCTGGGATAGAAATTCTGCTTATATAACGCCGGATATGCCCCCATATGAATATCAGTTTTGTTTCGACAAATAGGAGAAGAGAGAAAGGACAAAATGAGAACACACCCTTCTGAAATCTTCATTCCACTGGAGATGTGCTATCTGACCGCTGCCTTCTACACCACTTAATTGTAATGAAAATTGAATTTCGACAGCAGTAGAATACGTTCATTTACTTATTTTCCTAAACTGTAGCTTCTTTCACAATGATCAAATGTCGCGTTGCTCAGGACAACAGAATATGCAGTCTGAAGGGCAGTCTGCGCCAATTTAAATTTCTCGAGGTGCTTGACTTGTCCGGAAACCGGCTGCGCAACTTGCCGAAGATATTGAACTGCTTAAAGCACTTCAAATTCCTGCGACACCTTAATCTGAAGGTATGTACATGTACATGCTTGACTGCTGGGTGAATTCCTGTCAAATAAATTAAATTGGTAGCTGCATTTGCAGCAGGATATAAAAATTATTTGCACCTGTTGGGTTTCATTAATTGATGTTCCTACACATAAGTCACGTAAGCACAATTCATTATGTGCATCACAGTGCACCGGTTCAAAGCGCGGCTTTGAATTTAGGGCATGGAAATATTTGTCGTCATCTGTATAATATGCTGTGTTATCCTGTATTGCGCATTACATGGTGTGTACACAAGTCATGCATCGCCCAGCTTCCAAGTCAGATCCCGATTTTCAAATCACTGAATTGGAAAATGGCATCACATCATGGTCAGAATGTGCTATAGTTGTCTGTCTGCATGCATTTGACGACCATTCCCGTCGCAACACACATAACCATGCTTTGGACAGCAACTGGTGCCCACATTTTGATACTGAAACTGTCGTCATGATCTTGAGCACAAGCACATTGTGCTTTACCTGCATGATGTGGACAACCAAACTGTTCACAATTTTGGTGACGAGTTGTCGCTTCGCACGTGCTTGAAGGGGAATCCTTGCTGCGAGGAGCCGGACTACCGACTGGCAGTCATAAACGAAATGCCCTCCCTTGAAATTTTTGATGAGCATGTCGTGACGATCCAAGAGAAAGAGAGAGCAAAGGCGCTGATCGCTGCGGACGTGGCATCTCTCGCGGTGGCTTTCGGGCGTAGGGCACCACAATATGACTTGCTATGGGGCGAGAAGGTGCCCAAAGTCTCTCCCCTAGAGAGAGATGCTGGCAAGGTGGGTGAGGGCATATGCCGTAGCTCCCACGTTCAGATTCGGAATGAGGAACGAAAGCTCCACCTCGCAGAAAGCTTCTCTCATCATGCTCAGGATGAAAGACGACTCAAAGCTACGGTCTGAAAAGCTAGTGGCTGGGATCCTGGCTGTCAAGGATGGCCACAGCGGGAGCTCTGAACAGGGAGTCGTGGATTCTGCGGCAGCCACAGAAGCACCAGGTGGGCTTACCGTCGATGTGTGGCGTTCTCAAGTGTGAAGGGCATTCTGACGTGCAGAGCTTGTGCGTCAAGCGCATGCCCCGAGTGATCAATGGCATTGTGTCGATTACATCTCATACTTTGGGACCAGGGTCGCTAGCTGAGCTGCCCTGCGATGCCCAGAAGTTCATTAGAATTTTAGTGGAATATCATGATCATTTAAACGACAGCTTGGAATGCGCTTCATCCTTTAAAAATACCATGTTATGTTTAATACCCTTTAAGAAACACCTTGGGACATCTTCTGAGTTGAATGAAGGGCCCTCAGCCACCGCAAATACCCACAGGCGTATTCCTCTTCCTGAGAGTTGTGGCACGAGACAAACATCATGCGTTGCATACGCCATAGAGTGTCAGATGTATCACCTGATCCCATTTCCAGATATATGAGGGAGCCTACTCAATTCGTCATCTGGCGGTTTTCGGTTGCAGCAGAATACCAGCCGAAGGATTTTTTCAGGCACTGGACTTGTGCTCCACACGAAACCAAATCAAAGTGGAGAGATGAGAATTGGTCTCCGATCTCAGAAGGTAACTTCAACGCATCTGAAATACTAATATTGAGTACGTACGTTGCCCATACCCCTGACATATATTGCAAAAAATTAGCAGCTCCTACCCACTTTAAAGCACCAGACCTTGTTTCACAGAGTTTCACACCCAATGCAAATAGCGTATGCCCTGGCAAGTGGATCTCGGATTGGATGCAAAATCTCAATACTTTTTCCCATTTCTTGTCAACGGTTTTGTCCCAAAATGCATGAAACGGTAGTGGCTTAAAAGTTTTCTATCCCACAATCCTGGTGAATCGTCAGTGCACGAAAAAGCATCCGCTGCATCTTGCGAAATGTTGCAATAACGGAATGCCTTGCTGCCATAACCAGAGAGAACTAGGGAAGCTAAGACAGGATTTGTGCCTTCCAATGCTCATTCATAGTACATTTTCTCATTTCAAAACATCAGTACAAAATGTGATACTCATTCACTGCGTTTTCTCTATACATTTTACGGGTTTGGCTCCAGTAACCCGATTTCGAGGGAGCCTAAGCAGCCCATGTATTGCCGTTTCTTTTTCTACACTTGAACATGTCTCAACCCTATTCTCTGGATGCCATCGTTCCAATGATTGATGCGGCCTTGCCCAAGGTCGCAGTGCTGAAAGGACATAGCCCCTGATGGTCTCTGAATCTGTCCACTAGAGGCTTTGCTAGGTATTCATGCCTTTGATACCGTAGTATGCTACACTGGTTAATCTCGGATAAATGACTATAGAATGGCAAATGGGCATCGTCGTATGGTAAGAGGATTTTCCATCGCAGGAAAGAGAAATGTGTTGTGCAGTGGATATCCCCTCTTGAACAGAAGATGGTGAGGTGCAGATCCATGAGAAAGTGGGTGATATGAAAATGTCGAATCCAAGCGTGAAAACACACAACACCGAAGGTATTACACAATCCAGTGTATGCGAGAGAATGATCAACACTTTGGAAATGCATATTTTGAAATGTTTCAGGCCAACGCTTCATAAATAATGGTGATTAACTTTGCAGGAATACATGTTGAAGAAAGGAGATTCCATAAATTTCTCAAGAAGAAGGCTGTCATCGGCGCCTGGCACTTGTGTTGCCGAGAGGTGCATTTGTAAATAGCACAATTGCAGCTCAAGCACCCACCAAACCACAGGCGCTACGAGTACATTTCCCCATCAAATGCACATGGGAAAAGCACGTCCATAGGCTGCCATTGTGCATATGGCTTGATGTTCTGCTACGCACTCGCTAAACGTTTGGAAAATGTACAACCCTACCCTTGGATTTAGATAAAGCTTTGCATGCTTTAGAATGCGGCTTTGTGCTTCAGGACGATTTCAGAATGTCATTTGCCATTACAAACATTTTTATTTTTCATTACACTAAGTCATGTATTAAGGGTAATGCATATAGCTCCAATCCAAACCATGCATGGATATCTAAACGAGGCTGTTAAAGAAACAGGCGAATGCAATCAGGACCGAAATTAAGGTGCAGGGTCGTTTTTAGCTTTCACAAAGCGATTAAAGCGATTTTCAATATGGCCTTCAAATAACACAGTGCTAAACGCCTAACATGCACGTTGCCCATTCTATTGACCTGCTTTAGTATGTTTCAACGGACAACATCTAAGCCCATGGCGTTTCTTGTTTATAATATTGCTGGTCCATTATTATATACAAAATTGAAGGCTGTTAGCTCTTCATAGGTCTTTGAACCATTCTAAATGGGTTAGCAGTAATGAAGTTATGGCTAGTTAAAATTGTAGTACTTAATATTGGGCCCCCTACCATGCTCGGGAATAAGATACTATCGATGCTGAGTACGTTGTTCTGTCGGTTGTGTACTACTGCATGTGGGGGTCATGTGACCCACCCTGCGCAATAGCTTGTAATTCTATCTGTGCCCACTTGCCTCCCTGTGGTTGCACCCGGAAGCTACAAGGCGCACCCACAGCATGTACAGCCACCCCGCACCCAGCCATTCCACAGGCCTAGGCCCACACTGCACATATGAAGAGAACAGCGCCCTGGAAAGCCCACCAACTATCTGAAAGAGGGGCCCCGTGGCCCCATTAGGTACCCGGGCGGGCACGTCGCCCGCGAATCAACTGAAAACCATGCCAGACGGCCACTAAAATCCTAGTCATGCCCCCCATGTGCCAATGTCGCCCTTTGCGCCTTATCAAAAAGCCACTTGATAGGTTCCCGGTGGCTGCCTGGCATAAACCCCTCCAGGTCAATCTGTCATAGTAACTTCCCCCCCGGCGCAGGTTGCTTGCCTGCGGCGACACAGGCTCATCAGCTAGTTGCAACTTTTCACTCTCCAGTGCATTTCCACACAACCAACGTGCACAGTGTTATAGCTGCCATATGGTGCTTGCACGTGTGGCCGTTCACCGGCCAAATTGGCCACTACACACTGCCTCACGGGACAGAATCGACCTATGCCCTGTGATAAAAGCATCCATGGCAAGCGACCTCTTGTGGTGACACGGTCTCACCAGCCAGCCGTAATATTTTGCCCTCAGGTGCGTTTTCACCTGGGCAACATGTGCAACCTTATGCCCGTTGTGTGGCGCTTGCATCTACTGGTCGGATTGGCCTCAACACGCTGCCTTGTAGCCCCTCGTCGACTTGGCGTGGCCGATATGTACACCTCCAAAACCAATGATTTGCACCCCTTAGTTCTGCTATTTGGGTGTGCCCCAATACAGTCGCTTTCCCTTGTATAGCTTTCCACCGGCCTTGCCCCTTGCGCGCAAGCTTGATACCCACAATTCCAAGTGATAGCATTGCTTGTTGCTGGCACATTTGCCATAGGGAGCCATTGCTCCACTTTCCCACTCGCCAGAACCATCAAAATGGCACTTTATCTTTGCATGTTTGGCAACCCTTCGCCTTCCAAACGGTGTTGCATTCCTTCTCCATATCCTCCATGCCATCCACCATACCGAATTGGCGTTGCATTATTGCGCAACTATTGATCTCCGCCTTTGCCTCCCGTTGTGCTTGTCCCACAATGTTCCTTCCCCTGAGCACTATCCGCACCAAAACTCCATTGCCGAATCCACCACCCCATGGCCTTACTGTTTGGCGAGGGTCCTTCCATATGCGGCACTTCATCTGTTCATACTCGGGGTAGCTGCTCCATCCGCTCGATGCCTCCTTGTTTCTAGGTGCTCCAATTTTGCATCTTCCCACTAGTTGCCTAGGCTTTGAAACCACTTGGCGCATAGGCCTAAATACCATGGCTTTGCCAGCGCCCACAGATCCCTCCATCACCTGGTGGTCCGTGCATGCATGGCACCAACCCCTACGCTTTGCAGGAGGCGGGCGTTGTTGGGGCGCTTGCTCACTCATGTTCCGATGTCATGGTCCTAGAAATGTGGCCCAGAAAGTTTGGTTGTTCAGGAAGGCGGTTTGCATGGATAGTTGCTCTCCGGGCCAAGCAGCCTGTGCGGAGCGGGGCAGTGAGCTAGAACGGTAACATCGAGGGGTCGGACCGAGCCTCCCCTATATGCACGGTGATTAGCCGGTTCGGGGCCAATCAACTACAAAAGTTGAACATCTACTATATGGTACATAGTGCAACCGTCACACATATCTAGCATACCCCAGAGCCAAACCATATCAATAAACCATAACCTACTATACCCCCATGGCTTATCTGTTAAGTGCTAAGACTCCACAAGGCTATATCTTCATTATTACTTGGGGGAATTGAGTATATAACGTGTCTACAAATATCCACAACTCATAAGTAAACTATATTATAGGTTAGCTTTTACAAGGCCGGATATCCGCGCGCTACGCACTTGCGGTCCTCTGATTAACCCGACGGTGTGGCATCGTGCGGTTGGCTAAACTACCCAAACGTTTTTTGATATTTGTGACACACTACACATAATTGTTTAATATGCTAGGGCCAAATAGAAATAGTATTTGAGGCCTTGGCAAGTAGCTGAATGCAAGCGAGTTTCAACATAAGTTGACCATGTCCAATCGCAATGACTTTCAGTCACCAGGATTTGACATTTTAGGGTCAAGCTCAGCACACCAATTAGTGCGTGAAATGGTGCACCAGTCGGTGCATGCACTCGTGCACCAATTGTTGTAGGATTGAACGCAACGACTATTGTACCAATCTATGCATCGATTGATGCACCAGTAGGTGCAATGACTGCAGCGTGGCAACGAATTCAGGTTTTGAG